TATAGACTTTATGCATTAATTTTAAAAGTTCTATCGAATCTTAAAGTTATGCAACAATAAACTGAAACACCCTGTATACTGTTCTAATCACGTGGAAGTCTAACACCGAAAATCCCAAGAATCCTACATGTCACTTGTATTCCGATATTTTATGAAAGAGTCATGGAAGAAGTTTCGAGTCGATTTGATTTCACATGTCACCTCACATAATACATCATAAAAATTGCAACCAAGCTGTGTTCTTTATCCGAAAAGTTTTGCAGTTGTTAAAACTACCGAATTTGGAGTACATGACCAGTACTCTGATACAGATATCAAAATCTATCATGTAGTTTGCAATAGTAGCAGAAGCGGATTAAAATGCTATAGGCTGCGCGCCCCAACGCGTTATTAAGATATCTCTCCTGCTCTTCAATTTTCAATCATCATGCAATCATTTTCCTTGTATCAATCTCCTTTCCCATCGTGCTTTCTTAATCCGGCCCTGGTTTGCAGATAGGTTAGAGAACAACAAAAACAATATTTCACAATAGCTATACATGCACATGAGAAGTTGCATCATACATTTCAGCTAATGCACATCTTAAAATGGACTTGTCCTTACGTATAAAAATGTATCACGAAACTTTCTTTATGATTGCATATTATACAGGGTGTTCCAGAAGTCGACGTCAAGCCGAAACCGGGTGATAGGCAAAGTCATAACAGCTATCAGAAAAATATTTAAACAAATTTTATGTATGTGTTTTGAAAATTATAGGTCTTTGAAAAAAATATAGAAATTTCACACCCTACGGCAGTCTGTCAACTCCTGTTACTACAAATATTAACTTTTTTTGGATTTTATTTTTACAATGTAGTGATGAATAATGCATCTTCAAACTGGTGTCTCAACCTTACTGCCAACTTTTCTCGTTCAGGAAAAATTGCCACTTATTTCCCAACCAAGTATTCCAAAGTAAAACTTTGCTCAACTTTAACTGGCTGTACTGGAAAAAAATGTACTACGAGAGTTTGGCAAGTAACCTTAAAAGTTGGCGCATTTAATAAGGATTCCAAAATGGTATAACACTTAGAAGATTACTCGTTAACTTATGCACAATTTTTATTTGAAGAAAAACTGATGAAAATTTTTCAAAATCTCCTAATTAAACAGCGATTATGAAAACGCACAAGGACCCTTAAGGATAACTGTTTGCACAACAGTGGGCGTCAAAATGCTGCTGATGATGATTTACCTTTACAGCAAATGCTCAAACTGTTTTCCTTCAGCCGCAATTCACGCTCGACATCTTCTTAAAAAAGATCGGGTTATTAAACGAGCGAATCCACGGTTATTAACAAACTCAGCTGCTTCCAATAGTCTTGCTTAGCTCAGCTACATTTTGAATCGGCTTGAAATACACTTTTTCTTTTACAGTTCCCCAGTAAAAAAAATCTAACGGATTCAAATCTGGTGACCGGGCTGGCCACGGTATTGTACCAGACCGCCCTATCCATCTGCCTGGAAAGTTTTGATCGAGATACTCTCTCACTGAGAGTGCATAGTGCGCTGGGCAGCCATCATGCTGAAACCACATGTCCCTGTAAATACTCACTGGCACGTCCTCCAATAAATTTTCTAAATGATTTTGCAAAAAACCTAAATAAACCTCAGCAGTCAAAGTCTCTGGGAACTCAAACGGACCGGTTATTTTACCATTTAAAATTCCTGTCCAATGGTTTATCTTGAAGCGATATTGAGATTTATCTTCTCTCATCAAATGTGGGTTTGCTACGTGCCACTCGTGTAAGTTATGAAGGTCCATGTACCCATCTTTCTTAAATGTGGTCTCATCTGACCATAAAATTTTTTCAAAGAACCGTGGATCTTCCCTGTGTCTTTCTAACATTGTGCGACAAAAAGCAACTCGGGGATCATAAGATGTCGAGCGTGTATTGCGGCTGAAGGAAAACAGTTAGAGCATTTGCTGTAAAGGTAAATCATCATCAGCAGCATTTTGACGCCCACTGTTGTGCAAACAGTTATCCTTAAGGGTCCATGTGCGTTTTCATAATCACTGTTTAATTAGGCAATTTTGAAAAATTTTCATCAGTTTTTTTTTCAAATAAAAATTGTGCATAAGTTAACGAGTAATCTTTGTGAGTAAAATTGTGTGGGGTGGGATGTACGGTTCAAATCTTGGGCAGCTAAAAGTGGTGCAGAACCATATTGTAAGGATCATTCTAAAAAAACCTAGACTATATCCCACTATGCAACTTTATTCACAAGAAATAAACAATATTAAAATCTTATATATCCTTGCAGTATGTAGTTTTGTACATGCAAGTAAGAAATTAAATACAAATTATGTGTCCCACAATTATATGACCCGAGCAAACACCACTCATAACCTGAACGTCCCGCAGTCCAGGCGAGATTTAAATTTGCGTTTTGTGACATATCTTGCACCTAAATTTTACAATTTGATTCCTGCTAATATCAGGAATATTGGAAATAATAAAAAATTTAATATTTCGTTTAATATGTTCTGTTGGGAAAATCGTGAACAATTTATGCGTCTATTTTAAGTTGCTTTGAGGTAGATTCATCTGCCTATTTGTTCCATCTCTTTCTTTTTGATATTATTGTGACACTTTTTTTCTGTGATCTTAAGTTAAATCTATTACTTACAAAAATATGAAATTTTCTTTCATTTTGTGTATATCGTGTATCATGTTTTGTTTGTATAGTTGAGTGATTTTATACAAAAAATATATATTGCACGATATTTATCAATTAATTACTGTTTTGGTCTGTTTTTGCGCATACAAGTTTTTAAACTTAGGCGCTCATATATTATAGAGAAACCTTGTTTTTGTTTCGTTAATTTACAGATATATATTATTTTTATATTGGTAAATTTTGGTTCTGCTGAATAAATGTGGTAGAGTTCAGGGCGTACTGTTCTCTCCAACAACTCAACTCAAGTGTTATACCATTTTGGAATCGTTATTACATGCGCCAACTTTTAAGGTTACTTGCCAAACTCTCGTAGTACATTTTTTCCAGTACAGCCAGTTAAAGTTGAGCAAAGTTTTACTTTGGAATACTTGGTTGGGAAATAAGTGGCAATTTTTCCTGAACGAGAAAAGTTGGCAGTAAGGTTGAGACACCAGTTTGAAGATGCATTATTCATCATTACATTGTATAAATAAAATCCAAAAAAAGTTAATATTTGTAGTAACAGGAGTTGACAGACTGCCGTAGGGTGTGAAATTTCTATATCTTTTTCAAAGACCTATAATTTTCAAAACACATACATAAAATTTGTTTAAATATTTTTCTGATAGCTGTTATGACTTTGCCTATCACCCGGTTTCGGCTTGACGTCGACTTCTGGGACACCCTGTATACAGGGCCCAAGCTATTGAGCATCGTTCCTATGAGTCTTGGCGTTTTGGGAATCCTACACACGCACGCCATCTGCCAACCGAATTTTCTTCAGCCTCCAAAACACGGCTCTAGAGGCTCCCGAAAACAAAAGAACCTCACAGTCTTCTTATGGAAAATGGCTTTCGGTTGAATTAGTTGAAATTTTGCATATAGGTAGTTTTCAACATGGCGATCAAAATTCCCAATGGAAAAAAACACACCAGAAACCCCTCCTCGACCACCTATATGGATGCCAGAAATCCTCCATGTAGGGGTTATTCATAGTTAAGGTAGGACAACACAAGTTTTATTAAGTAATATTACTAGAGAAGAAGTAAAACATACTGTTGTTAGAATTTATTCCAGACTGACTAATGGTAATCAGGAATATGACCTTGACATAGACCTTGGAGGTTATTGTCAAGGTCAGGTAAGTTTTTAAAAGTGGTGCATCTCACTTTTCACCAGAAAAACAAAGCATAAAATCTACTTTCCTGTAGTCTTTGAGTATTTTGAAAACTCAACATTTGAAAGTAATGGTTAGGTAACCTCTTACCGAGGCGTAATGATAGAAGTAGCATATTATTACAACTTGTGATGTTGTCAGAGAACAAGTAAAACGTAACCTTGAAGGTTATGGTCCAGGTACCTATATATTATATTATATAAATATCAAGACACATTTTCCGAGTGTTCTAGGACCGTATCGTCAGTAGTATCACCCCTTTATGGCCTGCTTGATTTTCATAGTTTTCTGTTTCATGTCAGCGCTCTATTTTGAGGTTATGTTACAAATAACAATTTGATTCAAATTATTCATGATTTTGATTTATATAATCTGTTATACCAACCTGAATTCTCCCACAATAAAAAAAAAACATAGCCTCACAATAGGAGAGCGTTGACGGTGACACGTAACTGTAGAAATCTAGAAATACCACAACCTTTCTGAAGGAGAGAAAATACTATGAAAATCAAGGAGGACATAAAGGAGTCCTACAATTATACTAGACTGACGTTACGCTTCTTAGTAAAACGGACAGTTACCACTGACATAATACGTCTAGGGCATAAAGGAGGCGTTTATGGCTTGCGGCGAGAAATTTGAGACCAAGGCTACAGAATAAGTCAAATATTGAGAATAGCCTTTAAGTATATGTATATAAAAATAAATTGACTGTAAATACTATCTCACTGATGAGTGGGCGTAGTTGCAGCCGTTGCCTTTTACAGCAAATAAATACAAATATACAGTTCTCGTTGCCGATGAATATAGGACACATACTAGCGCTCGGTAATAGATAAAATACAATACAGGATCACTGGTTTTATATATACTAACATATTATGTTTCAATAAATATCCAAGAGTACTACAAAATAAATTGTGAATGTGATATCGTTCTAAAAAATCCCTTTGCTTTTTCCTCTTTTTGACGAAATACACAACTTGGCAACACCGCATCAATAGAGAAGTCAGTAAGATGTGCTTTCAGCGTACAGTTAAGAGCTAAATTAATTGCATAATAATCTCACGTAAATAGTATTGATAGTATTTCAGCGCATTCATGAAATATTGCTCGAACATACAACCACCTCTGCATGGTTGCCACTTTTCTAATTTTCCTTAGCATGGGGACAACGTCGCCCATTCTTTTGTCTCCGGTTGTACAAGAGACTATCAGATGTGGATGCATCTGCCAATCGCCAATAGATTTGTTCATAAATATAATAAATATTAGAGCTAATATCGAAAAAAATTAACATCCGTGTATATGTTATTTTCTGTTGTAACGACAACCCGAAAACCTAGGTATTTCAATAAATAAGATAGGTGATAGGTATCTAGGTACGTCTCCTAGAAAAAACATGAAATAATAACAAAAGACAAAACGCTGTAGAAAATCGGAGAATGCTTATAGTCGTGCACACATTTATTCGCGCTTATAAATCAATAACAGAAAATTCAGTGCCTGCTCCTATATTGGATAAAACTAACAAATTAATGAAAAATCGACTTACCTCTGCCTAGCATCCCTGTACCACTTCTTGCCGTGTGCATCGAACTTTTGTGCTTCCGTAAAATCCATATTTCTGAACATAAGGCTAACACTAAAAACAAATGAATTCACTGATACACAGAGGTTATATTTTCGCTTTTATGTGCAATAAAACTGGCAGTGTAAACGGCAAATGCTTCAAATGAAGAGTTCAAAATCATCTAATTCAAAACTATGCGGTTATTTTTGTTCTATCAAAAAATAAATCAAGTAGGTATGTTTCTTATAAATCGACACAAGTCAGCTTGCTCTCGTCGGCAAATGACTCGGCGCTAGAGTGTATTTTTATCTATAAAATAAAACCAGAGTACGACGATATCTGTTTACTTTGCAAGTGTTAACAATGGAATTTGTTGAGTATTTTTTAAGTAAATATCGCATAGAAGCAGTGTCGCTCATTGTCAGTTCATACAGCGTGTTCCTTTAACAAATAAGTTAAACAAATGCATAATAAAACAATGTTTTGCTAGACAACCACACTTACGACCTAAACCTATCAAAGATTAGGCAACCACACATACGGCAAGACAAATGTTTTAGAATCATTTTGGCACTTTATTTCGATACATTTAAACACACATTCATAACTAAACGCATACTAAACGGGCAGATATCACTTCCCAGTATTTAAACAATGAGATAATTTGAAATTATATAAATTATGACATTGTATCATCACTTTTCGGCCATGACAACTGTGAATTATCGTGACGTCACGAGACTGTTACATAATTCTGCCGTGCCGAATAGTCGAGGCTAATCTTAATGAGATGAGTTTCGTTAAAATACTATTTGAAACATGTCTGTTAAACCGATATGATAAATATTTGAATCATTGTTTATAAAAATCAAAAATTTATCTAAAATTAACCACAACATATGTAGAAGTGTACACTAGATCATATTGGAACCTACCTCACAGAGGCGGCACAACTGGGACTGGGGTTACTAGGTTTCAGGGTTTATAAGAATATAAGCAATATTTTCAATCAATGCTTGAATTGAATTATACTAGAAGATACGCTTTCATTTTGTTCTGTTTATGCAGTAAATTAAGAAAATTAGAAATCAAGATCAAAATAATCATTGCTCTAGCATACGTGTATGTCTCTCGCTCGCTAAACAAAATTTATACTCCAATACTGAGAGATCCGCAATTTTTTCAATTTTGCGCGGTAGCGATACAATCCTCCGTTATCCTCCAGCGAAATAAGAAAGCTGCGCTAGTATCGGAGAATATAGGCGGGCTCATTTCCTAAGGTTATATTTTCCGTATTCAGCCCTGTTGCTAGAATTTGTAAACCTGGATAAGCTTAATTATTAAAATAAATTATAAAAATATACTGGCTCAAATATAATAGGGATATTTAATCACATATAAAAATATATTATATTCTGCTGGTTTTGTGGTCACTTGTCCTGCTGTAATTTTATGATTCTAAAGTCTATTCATTTCATCTCCGGCTTGGACACAAATATTACCGATACTTTTCTATGAAAAAAATTAACAAGGATTTCTAATTTCTTGGGCTTACGGAAGTACGGCAATAGTGTCAAATGACCATGGTTCACTTTGCTGCTCATAAAAGCTACTTTCTTCGACGCTCGTTATTTGCTGTCGCTGTCAAAAATAACGTAACGGAAGGCTTGACGATTCGTTATCTGGTGACTGGTAATCCTTTTATAAGTTCACATGGGAAAGAGTACCAGCTACATCAAGGATTCCACCGACTTTGTGCGCAAGATTCAGGACTTCGTAGTTGAACCCGACGACATCCTTGTGAGCTTCGATGTCATCTCCCTTTTCACCAAGGTACCGCTGAGGAAATGCCTGGATCTGGTGAGCAGGATCTTCCCTTCTGACATCTGCAAGCTCTTTGAAATCTGTCTCACTGGAAGCTACTTCGTATGGGACGGGGGCTTTTATGAGCAGACAGACGGAGTGGCAATGGGAAGTCCACTTAGCCCAGTTATAGCCAACCTTTTTATGGAACACTTTGAGAAGAAGACGGTTGAGACATCGGAGAACAAACCAGCAATTTGGTTCCGGTACGTGGACGACACCTTCGTGACTTGGAAACATGGCACGGACAGGCTAAACGAGTTTCTGCAGCACCTCAATGATCGGCATCCAAGCATACAATTTACCATGGAGATAGAGATCGACCAACAACTGGCCTTCTTGGACGTCCTAGTCAGGAAGCGAGGTAACAAGCTGGGTCACACTGTGTACAGGAAACCAACGCACACAGACAGATACCTGCACGCTTTGTCCAATCATCACCCAAGTCAGAAGTATGGAGTCATCAGAACCCTGACAGAACGAGCTCGAAAGATTTCCGAACCGGAGAACCTCCAGGCAGAACTTGAACACCTGAAAACTGCGTTCGAAGCAAATGGCTACAGCAAGAGGGACATCGAAAGATCAATGGGCTCGAGATCAGCCTGGCCACGTGAAACCGAACAGCGTCCAACCACCTCTCAAGCGTATCTTCCATTTGTGCCAAGAGTCACGGACAGGATTGGCAGAGTCTTGAAGAGATATGACATTAAAACAATCTTCAAGCCTACGAAGAAGATCCAACAAACCATCAGATCGGCAAAGGACAAGAAGGATCCACTCTCAGCTGCAGGAGTCTACCGCATACCGTGTTCATGCGGCAAAGTATACATTGGAACCACGAAAAGATCAATGGGAACGAGACTCAAGGAGCACAAAGCAAATTGCCGGCTAGGACAAACTGAGAAGTCTGCGGTAGCTGAACATGCACTAAGCAATGGGGCCACAGGATACACTTTGGAAGCTGCAGGTTGCTGTCATCAGTCAACGGCTATCACAATAGACTGGTCAGGGAAGCTATCGAGATCCACAAACATCCAGATAACTTCAACAGGAAGGAAGAGACCCTCAGACTCAACCCGATCTGGTACCCGATCCTCAGAAACGCCCGAGCAGTGCCGATCGACATCCCGAAGTCAACCGAAACGGAACAAGCCACGTCACCTACCCTCCGGTATAAATGCAACCTGCGCAAGAGAAATCGTCTGTCTACATCCAGCATCGGAAATGGAAGGACCTCTGAAGAAGCTTGCCACTTGTGCTAGCGAAACGTTAGGAAGAAATTCCAACCGATGACGGCCTTTAGTCCCGAATCAAGACAGCAGTTTATATTTTTTTAGGAAATTTAGAAATACAATACTCGATGAAATCTTATGGTAGGCTTACGCTTATTACGTTATTCGCAACATTTGGTGACATTACCATAATAAAAGTATGTACCGCCTCTGTCTAACTTCAGAGTAGGGAGCAGCTATGTACCTGGATTGTTCCCAACAGTTGTTGATGTCAAAATTGTCGACATACTTGACAGCTAGCTGTCGGTTCTTGTCAAGCAAAAAATAAGTGTCAAAATACACAAAAAATAATTCTTAAATCGCTGATAAAAACACGTAAATAAATATTAACAAATATTCCACGATAACCACAGACAACGATCTGAGAATTTCAAGGTATGGTCTTTTTTCTCTCTGAGCTCATTTGTTACTAGTAGTAAGTATTATTATGTATGAAAAAATACGATCACAAACTGCAGTTATTTTATCTTCTTTGACTTGCCCCTATAATATGAGTATATAGTTATGAATGAAAGAAGCAAAAAGTAGCACTTATGTTGTTCTAATATGAGTATCCTCATTTTTAGGGTATCAACTGTCTAGTCCCAACAATCAATATCCATATCTACCTTGTGATACTCTGTACCTAGTACTAATCACTTACCTAATTTCATCGTGGAAACTTATCATATTTTAAACTCTTGATATTTTAATTTCTTTCTTGCAGAATTTTATAATCCTCAATAATACCAAGTTAAGATGTCAAGTTCAGATAATGAGAAAGAGCAAAAGCCATCAATTCCATCGAAATCTTCGATGGAGATTCTGTCAGAATTATTTAGCACATTTCATGCAGAGCCGCCTTTGATAATAAAAAGAGAAAAGTCTGAGGAATCAGGGAAGAAACACAAAAAGAAGAAAAAACATAAGCATAAAGATAGGAAACATAAGAAGAAAGATAAAAAGAAAAGGAGATCAGGTAGTTCCTCTAGTGGTGGCAATTCTGAGGTAGACCTGGCTAAAATACTGATTAGGCAAACCAAAGCTGAACAAAAGATTAAAATCGAAGGCACCAGTGTTGAATTGGATTTGAATAATATTAAACAGGAAGTCAAAAAAGAAGATGACATGGGTTCAAGGAAAATTAAAGCAGAATATGTAAAAGTAAAGAAAGAAAATACTGATGCTGAGGCTGAAAATAAAAATCAAACTAGCATAGGTAATGTAGTCATAATTATTTCTTCTAATTCCATCATATTAGTAGACATTTTTAAGTTCTTTTAAGATATACAGGGTGGCAGGTAAATAGGTGTAAAACGTTTTTGGAGGTGATAGTACAGCTCCTTTGCTATCAAAATTAGTATATAATAATAAAGGGTCTTTATTGCACTAAACATTTTGTACATTACCCTTTATTCAAAGGTTAAAAAGTTATGGAACATTTAATTTTTTTTAAAAAAACAACCCAGATTACAGAATAAAATAGTTGAGATAAAAAAAAGTTGGTGATTAAACATTCTTTTTTTGGTGGTTTCAGGTTATTATTTAAA